ATAAACAAAAGTAAATAAAAAATAGCATTTAAAAAAAAAAACATTATTCAGCAATGATTTATCGTGAGGATCAATAGCACGGTATATTGATATACACATTTATATATATATATATACATTTAATTATATTTAGTTTAGTCTTGAAACTCTTATTTATATAGTGAAATTATTATAACGTCAATATTTGTATCAACGTCAGCGTTTGCAAATTGTATATAGTCATTTATAATCTTTACAATAATTCTGTTAGTACTCATAAAAGTCAATTTAACCGATTTATCTAAAGAAAGAATTACTTGACCCATAACTTTAATAACAGGTTATTATTTGTTCAATGAAAGCGTCCCACTTTTTTTGCCATTTACCCATGGCTGTTATCTGCTCCTCGCCTTTCAAAGCACTATATTGCAATGAGTTCATTGCAAGTTTTTTAAGTAGACGTATATCGGAGTGAGCAGATGCAATACCCAAAAATGCCATATAGAAATCATGTGAAAGTGGACTTGCTTTCCAAAATGATGGATCATCACAAGATATAACTACTGGATAGTTGTTAGCAAAGTAGAATGCACATGGATGATTTCGAAGATCTGCTACAAGTTGTAACACTTGATTCGATATTGGATTTATTTCGATGGCTATATTTCTTTCCTTTAACATTTGCAAAACCAATGGATGTTTGACTAAAGCAAAACCATGTCCTACACGTTTTGTTCCCAGAAGAACAGCATCAATAACATTTTCATCGACGGATGTACCAAACCAGTTAGTTTCACCAGCATGAAAGTAGAAATCAATATTATTTGGCACGTTTAATAATTGCGGTACGAAATCCCTAAGTGGACGTCCAAGTTCTTCCTGTCCTACTACATCGAAGCCAGCTACAAAATCTGGATATTTTTCCTGCAAAATAAATAAAAAATGTTTTATTTAATGGAAATTTTATGAACGACGGCATGATTCGCATATCCAATTTTAAAAGAAATATGAACAGAAATATAATTGCCTATGTAGAATAATATTTTTGTGGGTCCTTTCCAGTAGCAGTTAAAAAGGGGAGAAGGGGGTGGGATTATTTGTGAAATACTATATGGTTAATGGTGCAAATGCTATCGAGTAAGTTTTTAATAATTATAAGGTGTGGCTTTTACACAAAAGTTGACAGATACATCTGTTTATCAGTTTTTTCCCCAAATCTTAACGCCACAACTTGACATATGTCAAAACTTTGCTATCAAGGGTATATTTGCTTCAATGTGTGATTACTATTATTAAACAACATAATAAAAAAAAATTTGTGTAAAAAACGAATTCAATACTTATATATTGACTACATCGACTACTAGACTTTACCAAAAATGACCATTCATTTATAACACAAGCTTTCCAAAAGAATTTGTGAATTCATTGAGAGTGATGATCGCAATGGAATGCCATCCATATCGAAAACCAACGAAAACATTAATACGATCACGGAAATGTTGGCAAAGAAAATGTAAAATGAGCATCAGAGAAATGACAAAGGACTTGAGCATGGATTATGAATCCGTTTAAAGCGTTTCGGTTAAAGACTTGAGCTTAAGGCATGTTACTGTCGGAAGCCTGCGCTTTTTAAAAAAAGGTAGTTTTAGCACTATGGATCATGTTAGGTCAGACATGATTTCAGTAACTAAGTCTAAGTTAACATTTATTAAATGTATGAGACCTAATCATTTATTTGAAAGCTCAGATTACCAGTGAAACCAGTTATTTTCATTTTTATCTTTTATATATTATAAGTAAAATAAAATCATATTTCGAACTTACACTGATCCGGAAAGTTTTGTAATGTTGCAATACTAAGCAACTATTCAACTCACATTGAAATGAATATAGAAAAGAACATTATATGCATTAATTTTATATCTACCTTAATTTCAATGCAGGTGCAAATATATTTATCAAAAGCAGCATCATCCACGTTTCGTAAAGGAGCATAAATTAATTTTGAACCAATGAAATCAGGGTGATCTTTCATAAATTTATCTAAAGTATCCTTGTAAATTTTTACAGTATCTAATTCAGTGTATTTTTTACCATCCATATCATAAAGCTAAAAAAAAAAAAGAAAAATTGATTTTCAAAACTTTAAAGTATTGCACAATACTTTAACCGACTTACTTGAGGTAATGTTGTTCTAAATTCCAAATATTGCACACCATCTTCATTGAACTCTTTCAATGCATTATAGTAATAATCTCCCCAAACGGGTGCATACATCATCAAACCATCCAGTAAACCAAATATATTCATAAATGCCATCCACACCTCGTTAATATCTGTATATTTTTCAGTTGGATATAATGTGAAACGATCACTCAGATATTCATCCATTGCTTCTGCCCCACGCTTTTTGCGTACACTTGACAACAATTCCCAGTTGCAATCTTTAGCCACTTTATCCTTAGGTTTTTGTTTAGAAAATTTCAATGCAACTGCTTCACAACCATCACCAGCCATACAAGCCCACAAATTTTCACGATATGTCAGTTCGAGCAAATAATCTGTACTGCACAATGCAATATCATGTGCGTGCAATACTCCACCTTTTGGCATTATTGACATAAATTCAAATAAAGGTGACTCATGAATTTGGTCTAGAACACTAAAAAAATGCTGAGATGGACTGAACATATGTGGCGTAATTACTCCTTTTTCCAATTCTTGCATTTTGGCTGCCATTATAATTTCATTCGCTTCAAGTTCACGTTCAGTGAGCTCAAGATTGGCACCAAGTGCTCTTGATTTTTCAAAACAGAAGAATTGGTCGCGCAAGGAATTATATACTTCCGTTGAAGACCGTGAGAAGTGTTTGTTACATTTTACAATTTGATTCTAAAATTAGTATTACTTCTTTAATAAATAAGTGCATTTTATTCTAAGATTATATTAGAGTAATACAGAAGTTGTTCTTTGGTCTAATAAAATAAGATTTCTATCTTTTCATTTCCGTTCAAAAACTTCAGATTTTGTAAGCTTGTTTTACTAAAGAACATAAGTACTATAGCTCAGTTGCTATAATAACAACAATTAAATTATCACTGAGGTACTGTTCGCTATCTACTATTATATGAATTTTAAACAAAAAGTTATTACATTTAAATGGGGAATCTGCTTTGAATTACTATATAAGACTGCTTGAACATATAACCACGCATAGCTTCGATAACTATCGATCATTTTATAAGGGGTTTTACCCTACAGGCGCTCTTTTAATTTTAAAATGTTGTTCAGTTCAGCATGAATTTAATAATATATATTACTATATATCATGATTTACTTTTTCTAAAACTATTTTAACTGATGGGATCGCTACTGTGTGCTTATACATTTAATGCACGAAATATAGTAATACCAGGTATTTTTATACGACTTATGGCATCAAGATATACATGATGACTTAACACGTAACTTCTGGAACTCAAATACAGCTGCAGTAATAGTTTTTCGCTTACCTTTGAAAATGGAATTTGAATAAGATTTTTTTGAGCTACTCTCAAAGCATGCCAAATACGATTTTTGCTTAAATTCAATAAATTTGATAAGACACTCATTTTTCACTAAAATTTTTGAATTAATTTTTGGGAAATTAAAATTTTAATCAAATTTTTCAAGACAAAAATTAAATAGTTAGCGTTTTACTATTGCTGCTTGCATTTATTTTAGCCGTATTTATTTGTATATAATTTAGAGTTATTATTTATAAATAAAAAATTAAAATCACATTTTGATATTTCGTATTTAATATTATCATTTGTGTCAATAATTTTCGATGTTTGAACATTGCTGTAAAATTCAGCGCTTACTAGCTTTTAATATGAATTAAAATTTAATTCACTTAAATGACAAAATTAAAGTTACAAAATTAATATGAATAACCAGATATGCAATTATTATACTATGTTCAGACACACCTTAATTTCGCAAGTATCTTAATTTCATCTGCGTTTCAGCGAAATTAAGTTGTTTTTTCTATATAAAATTCAGTTTTATGGTTATAACGAAATTAAGAAAACTGGCCTTAATTTCATTGAAACGTAAGCTGAAATTAAGTCACATTTCTAATTGTTGTTGTTTGATTTATATGACGTCCAGACCTCCAATTGGAGTGCTGTCACCTTCATGGACGCATATCCACCTTAGTGGTTAGATGTTAATGTAATGAGTCATTTGTGAATAATCTTAATAAAGTATTACCAACTTAACGACTGAGTGACTTATACTACATTTACGCTGGCCCCAAATGTCTCATTTGTAATGAGTTTAAATTAGCCATCTTTAATGTTATACATGTTTTATTTAAATTATATAGGCTTGATCGTATATACTTCACACTTTTATAATAAAATTACACTACGTCTTCGCTACAATGTTTGAACAGTCAACAAAGTGTCATATTAGCGTAACAAAGGTATTTAGCACTAAGTACATCGGAACAATGGGCGTATAATATTATTGTGTTCTTTGTTCATAAGTTAAAATCTACAAATCAGCTGTTTTTTGTTGATATTTTAAAATAAAGCTGTTTAAAAATAACGTGTAAATGCTGTGATGTGTGACTTTTAGTGATTTTCAAATAGTTTTTATTGTGACGTTTTAAATATATCTTTTTAATAATTGGTCCAATGAATTCAGAACAACCACACAGTATTTAAACAGAATTTATACACAGTATTTATACAGAAAAATACTAATACCGCTTGATACTGATAAAATCGCCAAAATATCACTGTGTGGTACTTGTATAATTTGATTTAAAAGAACAGAGCTATATATTAAGCAAAATACGAAACGGATATCAAAACCCAAATGTTCATTAAGTCGAAAAAGTTGTCATTTGCGTTCCCCCATTCAGCTTATACCTTAGCTAGATCATTTATCTCTGAACCACAGTGTTTAAATCATTAAATCTAGACAATATTTATATAAATTTACCGCATCCCTATATAATGCTATAATATATGATGTAAAAAATAATTAAATGGAATAATAAAATAAATAAAAAACAATATTATATATAAGAAAATTGAGTAAGCTTTATATCAGTGTTTATATCATAAACATATCCAGGAAGTGTGTCTACATTTTGTATTATTAAAACTGTGTTGTGTATTAACCGACACATCGACTTGTGAAACCTGCAGCTATATATTATATATCATTATATATTACATATTATTACTTCTCTTAATATTTTAGACTAAATATGGTAAGTTAATTAATGAAGGAAACAATATGTCCATATAGTATAAATGACAATAGTAATACTTACTTGCACTTCTGGGCATGCTTGAGGTCTTGGTTGTGGTCTTCGTGGATAGTATGAAGGAACTGGTGCAGCAACCTTTCAAAATACACTTTTTTATTGTAAACGCATTAAAATATATATATCAGTTTGTTTACAGGTGAAACATATTGCAAAAAAGTTTAAAATACGCTAAACTTCTTCAAAACGTTTTTTAAAATCGATTGACATTCAAATATCCAAAACATAAAACAGACATAAAAGTTCGTAAATCAACGTAAAGTGGTCTTTTGCCTTAGGTTGCCTAAAGGTTACTACCTATCTGTAGACCTTAAAATTATGCTATAGGCATTCTGAAGCTCACCACTAAACAAATTATGCAAGATATAAGTATATAGGGGAAATGGAGGTATGAATGTAATACTTTAATTTAAAACGACGTACTTCCATATGAAAATATATACTGACTAAAGTGCAATATTGTCGAAATTAATATAGAACTCTCATATACAACTATATACCAACTAAAGTCACATCTTGTTTTTTAAATTGATCTTATTTTATCAGACATCGTATAAAATTATTGAGTATTGAGTTACATTTAATTTAAATTTAAATTTACCTGTTCACACCAACTGCAATTATCTTTTGAAGGCTAAAAAGTTTAAAAATTATGTGAAGTGAACTGTAATAGTCAAATTTTAATTTTTATATATATAATTTGTTACCTCAGAAAAGGACATATAATTCCATGGCTAAAAATTAGAGATATTTTACATAAGATATATATTCATTAAAATAAAACTCTTCATTATTGTATAAAGCATAACAGTATATATCAAAATATTTTATTAGGAATGTAAATGCAAAATACTTTTAACATTAAATGTCATATATCTTTAGTCGTTGATAGAATATTGACTACGATTAATTATATAATCATAAGACACCGAATAAGAGACCCAGCATATAATACGAGTATGTACTACATTACGTTAAAAAAGAATTACGTTTTGCGTTTTGATAAGTTGGGATATATATCATTTGTTTAACAAATAACTCTTTCGTTATGTTTTTGACTTGCAAACGCTGAATACTTTTTACCCCACCCAACTATAGTTTAAGTGATATTATTTTTTAAATACAAAAAAAGTTCGTATATTCCACGCTGCCACATTAAAATTTTAACAAAATCGAAATTCAATCACATTCAAAATCCTAAGGCAATATTTTGATAAATATAATGTATGTGTTCTAATTGCTATGTCTTTTTTAAAATATTTAATTAATTACCTTTCCTCTACCCTGGTTGCAGCACAGCTTCTGCAAAATAAAATATTTTTTTATTGCATATATTGATTATAAGTACAGGGTTATCTATTTTGCGGTTTTACAGGTAAACTTAAATAAAACACACTTAAGATTGAGATTTGGTTCAAATTTTTGTATTAGTATATTATGGCAAAATATAATATCATTCAAATTGTCTACACATAACATCTTATAGTAGTGGATCCTTCATATATAGCAGATAGCTGTCAATTGTTCAGCGATGACGGATGCTCAAAAATTTGTTCAAAACAAAAGATTGAAGATTGTAAAAAATTTAATGGTATATATTACAAGATCTTGTTAACCCATTCAAATAACAAAAACATAAAATTATCAGAAAAACGTCAAAACAAGACGTATTGTACGCCATTTGGTTTGTGACACCATCCTGTTAAAACTAACATCAATATTTTTAATTTCAGGTTAAAAAATGGTAATCATGTGGCTGTGTCAATATGATTGATGATTAAAACTGACTGTATCATAGCCTTGACATTTTTAGAAAGTATGTCTCTTTATTCCATACTAATAACTTTTTGAAGATACAAAGTCTTTTGACAGCTACTTTAGGGGTTTTTTTTTAATTAACCTTCCCAATTATAGTGGTTATAAAACAGTTCATACTGTGAAATGGCAAATCTGTAGCTAAGCATATGTTGCTTTTTATGACAGCTCTGTTTGACGTATGTTATAGAGACAGTATTACCAAATTAAAACCACAATATAGTTAACCCTTCATAATTTATAAACTGGAGAGAAATGTTAATAAAACTTTACCGCTTGAGATGTTCTATAATTTTTCTCAACAAACTTTATAAGGAACCCATACTCTTATGTTAGTTTACATTGTAATAGTAAACCAATTATAAATAACTTACCGACCCTGCTGAGTTTTGTGCCGTAGTCTGCAATTAAAGGAATTGAATATATATATTATGTATACAATTTTCGTTTTTATGCCATTATATATTTACACAAGTATAGCTTAAACACAAGTATAGCTTTTTATATAATAAATGACATTAAGAATATTTACTGGTTGAGGACATGATTGAGGTCTTGGTTGTGGCCTTGGTTGAGGCCTTGGTTGAGGACATTGTTGAGCACTAGCTTGAGGTCTTGGTTGAGGACATTGTTGAGCACTAGCTTGAGGTCTTGGTTGAGGACATTGTTGAGCACCAGCTTGAGGTCTTGGTTGAGGACATTGTTGAGCACTAGCTTGAGGTCTTGGTTGAGGACATGGTGGTTTGCGTGGATAGTACGAAGGAACTGGGGCAGCACCCTGTAGAGTTAAATTGTATATATATATTTCGTTTAAGCGATATTAAAAATATTTACTTGAAATGGTGATTGAGGACATGTTTGAGGCCTGGGTTGAGGTCTTTGTTGAGGTCTTGATTGAGGACATGATTGAGGTCTTGGTTGAGGACATGCTTGAGGTCTTGGTTGCGGTCTTTGCGGAGGTCTTGATGGCGGACATGATTGACTGCGTGGATAGTAAGTAGGAACTGGGGCAGCAACCTTTCAAAATATTCATTTTTTTTATTGATAATGTATTTTAATATAACTAACAACCCTTAGAAAGGTTTTACACTTAACAAAGGAATTAATTTACTGTACTTAATTATGATATAATTTTAATTAAGTTGCCATTTTTCATGATAATATAACGTTTCGTTGTCAGTTTATAAAGATTGTAGTGGGAATAGGAAAAAACTTGAGTTCAATGTACCGATATTGCATTGCATTTTAGTTAAAAGAAAATCAGCACAAATTCAATACTCCTAATGGCTTCAAAATGGGTATGGTAAATCTGTTTTTTTCCAAATCAACTGTTTGTCGGTAGTTTTATAATTGTAATTACTCCAGAAAATTCCAAAAATATGATATATAAAAACTTTTGAATATCGTTAAATGAAGTTTGCGAAAATATCTGGCACCTAAAGGCTGTTTCAACATTAGCTTATAGAAACACTAGACGATGCTAAAAGTATTTTCGAAATGGATACTGTGTTTGCCGACTAATAACCACAAGGTGTTGACAATTCCGCGTGCTGTTGAGTGCGCAATAAAAAGATTATTTTTAATAAGATATGTAACAATAAAAGCAATACGGATCCATTACTATACTCTAAAGACAAATCAATTACTTTAAGAAAGAAAAAAGAAACAACAGCTAATATTGCATAGCATTATTGGAGAGTTTAATTGAGTACGTTAAAAAATAATTCTCAAATGAATAAGAAAAGACATCTTTCACTAAGACAATACATAATATAACTAATCAATAATATCGATATCATAATTATAAGAGTTCACCTTTAAAATATTTTTCCATTCACTTTATAGAGCTACTAACTACTTATTTTTCGACCTAAGAATAATGGTTTACCGAAAGTTATTTCACTTCAGGGGTAAAGTGATTAATAAAACTGAAGATAATTCTAGAGCCCATCTCCAAAAATATGTCATCAAAAAAATAATACTGAATTGTTTGAGAAATATTGGATTAAATTGTATTGTGTTGTTAGAATTATTTTATATACATTTTAAATGATGGAATGTATTTTAATTAAATTTGATTTTACCTGTTCACACCAACTGCAATTATCTTTTGAGGGCTAAAAAAGTTTAAAAATTATTTTAAATGCGTTGAAATATAAATTAAATTCAGTTATTTTATATTGAGTATTTTTTATAACAATAACTTATTACCTCTGAAAAGGACAAATAATTCCATGGCTGAAAACAACAGATATTTTATATAAAAAATAGATTAATTTATATTACAACTCTTGATAATTTTTTATACTAAGCAAATATATGTATAGCAGTATATATCAAAATACTCCATTAGGAATTTATATGTGAAAAACTTTTAACTACTAATATCACATATTTTCTGTCAATATTATAATTTAAAGACAATGATTACTCATGCAATTACAAAAATATCCCAAACGAAATATGCATCACTAGATTCAAGCAAAATTTATATGGCAAAAAAATATGAGTGAAGGATTTCCAGGAAATAGCCAATGTAAATATTCTTAAATGACAGTTCTGCATTGTTATTTTTATAGTAGTAAAATTGTAATTATTTCTGAATAATATAAATTTTTATATACTCTGTATAATAACTATTAACACAAAATACCAATCTATTGAAATATTCAACAAAAATCAGCATATCTATCATTTATCACATAAATCGATTTATTTCATTATGTTCATGATCAGTTGCAAACGCCGAATACTTTTTGCTTAACCTAGTAATACATTAAAATCTTTAGTAGTTACCGTGAATGATATTGATATACTGATACAAGTTTTGAAATACAATAACAACAACATACTATATATCATGAACACAACTTGAAACTTGAATAAAACTTAAATTCATTCACATTTAAAGCCTAAAGCGATATTTTGATAAATACTCGTATAATGTATTTGTTTTATTTGCTGTGCATATAGTATAGTATTCTAGAATATTACATATATTAATTACCTTTCCTCTTCCAGCACTACAACAAATCTTCTGTAAATAATATTTTATATTAATATTGCACTTATGAATTATAAGTACCAAATATTGTATATATAATACAATAAAAAAATGTTAAAACAACTTTACCGATTGAGGTGGTTTGCAGTTGTTCTCAGCAAACTAAAAAAGCAAATAATATATTCGAAATAATTAGAATCCCTTAAATATAATAATCGCAATTAACTTACCGGCGGTGCACCTGCCGCTTTTAATCTGGTAAAAGTTGATTCTGTGTTAACCTATAATTAAAAAATTTTAATATATGTGTTTCCATATAATATTATTAACACATATATGTTTGTAATTAATTTTAATATTTTGTTTGAAATACGGGTCTAAAATATAGTCAACCTGAAACCTGAAAATTTCGATTTTATGCGGCATAAGAGACACATAAACGAATAAGTTATAGGTTTTTGAATACCACAGGCCTACTCTGGCGACTTCATTAAAAGAAGTCAAATGGTGTTATCGAACAATTTAAAGAAGAAGTTTTAAGAATCTCTTCGTTTAAGTAATTGATGGCACCAACAAACTACTCGTTTTTACTAGTTACATATATATATATATATATATATATATATATATATATATATATTAATATATATATATATGTATATATAGTGGTTACAAACGCTTTTATGTAACTAATTTTTAATATATATATATATATATATGTATATATAGTGGTTACAAACGCTTTTATGTAACTAATTTTTAATATTGGTTTTTAGGAACGAAATACTTTAAAATACAGGTCAAAATGCAATGATTCTTAATGATCCCCAATAAATTGCACCAAAACTTGCCAGTGGATTTCTTTTAAGCAATGTGCTTGCTATATATATATATATATTGAGATCAGTTGAGCGCATCAATCGATGACATAAATTGATATTTTTAAATACAATGTGAATGATTCAAACTTGATGTCCTTATATAAGGACAATTCACCTTATAACTACAACTAATAGTGACGACTTATCTCTTTATATCCATTGGATGGAAAATGCTTAAATCAGTATGAAATCGATTTTGGAATTATATTAAAGTCAATAATATACTATAATTTTAGAAAGTAATTAAAATAAAATTAAATAATATCTTGCATATGATTCATTCATGTCATTAAAATAAATAATTTATAATTCAAATTCAAAATATCGAAATAAAAAAATATACTATAATATACTTTATACTTACATTTCCACATGGAGAATTTCTTTTAAAACCGTCATCCGTTAATGATAGTTTACATGCCTAAGATAAATGAAAAAGATCCAAAAAGTTTTATTTAAATTCTCATATTGTTCAAAAATTTTTGTTGTTTTTTTATTAAAAATACAATCAATTATTACTTATTTTTTTAACTTTTATTTAACCAAATTTACCCAAATATTGGGGTAAATTATAATGAAATACGACAGCATAAATTTTATTTGTAGTAGTTAATAGTTAATAATTGTAATTAATAGTATAACTGCTGTTTATGCGTTCATTCCGATATAGGTATATGAATATTTTTATGTTTCTGTTATACTGAGAACTGTAAACTATAAATGAACTATAAATTTAAGAACAAAGTGAAAATAAAAAGGCACAAGAAATAGAAATTTAAGAAAACTTAAAGAATAAAAATGTATTTTCCAATAGGATAAGATAATATGTCTGAATCATTTTATAAAGAAGCCGACAATGCAAGTTCATTTTTCAAAAAAATTAAATCCATAATAATACTATAATATACAATAATACAATAAAAGCATTTTATTCCACTGTTTCTTTTATTAGACCTTACAAGGTTTTAGATTTTATATTCTATATTTATTAAATAAATGTAAATTTATCCACTACAAACTGAAAACACTTACCTCAAATATTTTATTGACTGCAGCACTCTATTTCCAGTATCAAAGCCATGTTAAAACGAAATTTATACCGATAAATTAATTTAATAAAAAAATATTAATGTGAGTTCATCATTTCTTACGATTATATCATCCAAACTCTTTTAAAAAAATATAAAAAAAATTAGCAAAAAAAGTATTTAAAATAAATTTTATCATATACATACGAATGAGATCTCACCCGAGAAGTTTCCTCTCTCTACTCTTTTTTGAAAACATACCTAATAAATATCCGTTTAAATGAAAAAAATATTAAATTGAAATATTTTGTGTAGGATGTTGCTTTGACATATAGGCTTATAGGCCATTTATTTCATAACGATAATATTTTAAAGTAAATATTATAGAACATTTTAACATTTAGTTAATAATAATTACTCATATTTATTGTACAATATATACAAAATGAATATAGTATAGTATAGGTTAAGTTGCGAAAGGGGAAAAATTATATTTAAGTTTATATTTTTAATCATATTTATATATTTGATTATTTAGTTATATTAAAATTCAATTAAATACACAAAAATAAAGTGAATACAGTTGGACAGCTATAAATGAGAGAGTCTTATTACAGTCTATATCTGAACCGGTAGCTCATAACGATACTTAATGTTAAACTCAATTAATTTTTTATTAACAATGTTTCCTACAATAATAAACAATAAACATTAATAGACATAATAATAAATTTTGATTTTAATAAATTGATAAATAATATTAATAAATTAATACATTTTTTTATATAAGAGGTTGTCTATGATTGACTTTTAACTTACCTCCTTAATTTCACCAGCTATATCACACTGATTATGTACAAAGATATAGATCATAAATAAGTTTAATTTTAAAATTAATTAATTTTAATGTTGATATTAATTGAAATAAATGATTTCTTACAAGCAAGTCATCGATAACCTTAGAAAGAAATTTATTATCAGTAGGAATATAATATATATGCTTAATTATTTCATGCACTCACATTCGTTCCATTAGCTGTATCTTCATTGTTGTTGCACTGTTAGGATAAAAATAAAATTATTAGAGTTATAAAATTAATTTTAATTAAAAGAATATACTTTTGTCCTCTACTAGGATTTAACAAAAGATATCAAATTTCAACTAATTATCTAATTAATTAAATAAAAAATTAAATTTAAGTTTTGTACCGAATTCGTTGCATGAAATCGTGAATACCCCTAATTTTTATTAAAAGGAGTTGTGTACACAAATGGTACAACACACGAGTAGACTATAGCTAATACTATAGCTAATATGGAAAATGCACTACTATTTAATGAATTAAATAAATTGGAAAATATCTGCAAATGTTACATATATATATATAAATATAATAATTTTGCATCAAAACATATGAACATTTCATTAAAATATAAAATATAACAATAGTAAAATTACTGTATCGCAATAATAATTTAATTTGTGACAATTTATTTTAATAGATACTATAACTACACGTGATAATGACGACATTGAATTATTTATGAATATTTACAGGAAGTATGAGATATATTTCATAGCAAAATATACACAAAACTTAGATAATTCATATTTACCGAATCCATGTTAAAAAACTTATTTCTTTTATTGCTGTTAAAAAATAAATCATTAAAAAGAAAAAACATTTTTATTTTTAAAGTAATTACGTATTTATAAATATTTTGAGCCTTTGTCTTCTATATTCATCGAGTATGGTTTATCTTGTAGCAGTAAAACATTCACTGCCTGTTAGTTCAGCTTATAATGAAATCTGTAGTTGAAAAGATATTTCATAAATTTTATGTAAATAAAATTTTATGATATTCGTATATGATTTAGTACTAAAAATAATGATAAATGATAATTCAGACTAAAAAAATATGTAACTAATCCAAAATTTTCTGCAAAATGTATGCGGTTTATGGTGAGAATATTGTCCATAAACGCCAAACCCAGGAGTGGTTTGTTCTGTTCCTTTCAAAAAATTTTAATGTCAAAATGGAACCTCGTTCTGTCATTATAAGAGCTGATGTCTGTTCGCTATCGCTCACAGCTCGCTTGATAGATCAAATAGGAAGTAGATTCGACTGCTCGACAATCAAGGAAGTTCTCGATAGAAAAAAGGTCGCATTCTATAATGTCAATGCCAGACTATACGCATTATTATTGATTCTAAACAAATTAAAGGAACTCAGTTTGATGCTTCCACCGTATAGCACGGACTTTGGGCCGCCTGACTATGACTTTTAATGGTCACTTAATCCAATTTTTTGCAGGAACAGTTCAGTTTTAAGGGAAATTGCACACCTCATTTAAATATGTAGATTAGAGTTTATGTGCAGTTGCTAATTATTAATAATACCCGAATATGAAATCATAATAAAACTTAAAACCAATTAAATCTTTGTAAGTAACATCAGTAGTACATTCTAATTCGAAGTAATCATTACTAGGAGTGTCGCATATGTCAGGAAAACTAGACGGAACGAGAAACGAGAATAAGATGGAAGAAGTCCGACAGATATGAAATATTAACGATCATTTTTTGTTATTTAATTTAAACTATCAATCATATTTATCTGACTTTTTCTGATATAACCAATTAATTATATATAATTGTAAATACATTAATAAAGAAATATTATGTGTATGGTGAGATCCCTACATATTTATACATCTATTACTTACTCATTTTATGAATATTGCCAATATTCCATATCGATTTTTTAATCTTTTTTAAATTGACATATTTGCTTATTGCCAAAATTTGAAAAATATAACCAGAAAAATGATCAAAACAATATTCCAATATAAATGAAATCAATTTATTTTGAATTAAATTTCATGACCTTCTGGTAATGAAATATATTTTGTTTTTAAAGAAACAGAATTAAGCATATATAGTAAAAACTTGTGCTAAGACTTCTTCAGCTACCATTTTCAAAACATGACATTGATTGGACTCAGTCAAGTTTATTTTTCTTTATATATGCTATAATAATCACTGTAACTCAGCTTTTAAGTGTTAATTTTAATTTTCAGTTCAGTTCTGGTGGTAAAATGTCATTAAAGCTGTAATTTTTTTCTCATTATAATTTAAAAATACTTATCCATATTAGAGTTATTTTTATATAAAATTATTAGTTTAATACATAAACTAATTTTACACAAAGATTGATTTCCGTAAATACCACAAATATAACTTCTTAAACTCAATCTCTAATTGAATGTGGGATAAAAATATCTTATTATTAATATAAAATGGGGAGAACTTCTATTCTAACCTAAGGATCTGTTCTGCCCACTAATAAAATCAATGTGTTTCTCTGAGTCCAATTATCTCAATAAAATGTAGTAACGAACTTAGTTCACTCAATCTTATGTCTATTATCTATTATATCTCTATTATATCTATAATAAAAATAAAAGAAAATAAGGGATACTTTCTTATATTATGATCAGTACTGGCTAAGTTCTCAGTGCTTGTTTTTCTATATGATTATCTTTCTTACAAATAATGCCAGCGAAATTTTTTTATATTACATTTGCTTTCATTATTCAATGCACTATAAATTCATTTTAGTAAATATAATATTTACCGATTTACAGATATCTAGAAATTTATATATACGTATATATTTATTTACAAGTTAATTTTGAATTTAAGGAACTGATTCATAACAGCTTTATTATAAACAATAATATCAGTAAACAATGATTAAACATAAGAACTTACTTAATTGACCATTAAGGATGTAAATCTATGTATTTATTTGGATCATGTATGGATTTTCTTCACTCCAAATGTGACAATTTGTTTCCTTTACAAAACCCTTTAAGCAGAAATGAGCTTAATCGGAAGAGATAACTTTCTCGAAATATTAGATCTGTTACAAGTTGTACTAAAAACCAATCTGCAAAATTTTTAAACATGCTCAATGTGTGTTTGGTTCAAGTACTGGGGTCAAACAAATTTCAAGTACTTTAATATGCAGATCTGAATATTCGAGTTAGGTATACACGACTTTTAACTACACTTTGCTCTACAGCATTTATATATTCAACGGATTGAATTCAAAAGCACAAGCACCATCATTATATGACCTATTCTTTTAAATTACATTAACATTAATAGGTATTATTAAGTTTAGCAGGTTAAGGTTTTTGAACATTATTGTAATGAAATATTCAATTCGTGGTTCAAATGATAAAAATTTATTGTTTTTATGATAATTTTAAACAAAATGTTTATATTTTGTATAACTCTTTATTTTTTAATTGTGATTTGGTGAATTTTGATGTAATAAAAAAGATCACTGTAATGTTTAATAAATCTATAACTATAATTTGATCTATCTCTTTATATTTTTATCAACGTGTGTTAAAATTTAATTTAGCCTCAATTTGAATAAATTTAAACCAATTTTTAAGATTCATATGTGATTTAATAAAACATTTTACTAAAATATAAATATTATTAAAGAAACTTAAAAAATTTGTTTAAATAGTTGTAATTAGGGGCTCTGCATTTCAAACTCCATACAGTCAAATTGATCCCAGTCGTCTTTTCGTTTCACAGGCTTTAATGAGAAGAATGTATTTTATGTTGATTAATTAGAAAATTCTAGTTTTCAAATTATAATATAGATATTTCTAAAATATACATAAACACACTACATATTTTTATTATATATTTCATATATATATTTCATATGAAGCAATATCCAAGCTGACACATTTTTATATTAAAACACGTTTAATGTGTGTTGTCGAGCGAATCTAGTTCGTTAATAATTTTTAATATAAAGCCCATGTTATTATTAATATATATTATATTATATTATTATATATTATTTATTATTTGTTGTCCAAACGATTTTTAATATACATAAGACCGAAAAGCTTTCGGAAATTCTCATTTAAAATTCGCGCGCTGTATATTTTCCGATATTTTAAGTTTATGTAGTTTGGCAGCACTGTCCTTAATTACTATGCCAAAAATGAGCGCGATCTGTCAGACAGTTCGTTTACGGCAGCTGTTGAAACCAGTTCACCTCAGTAGGGCGTTGCGAAAAAAACAATGGAAAAAAATATTGAACAAAGAGTTTGCATCAAATTTTGTGTTTCGAACGAAATTTCGTGTGCAGAATCGTTGCGAATGCTACAAAAGGCTTATGGGGAATCAGTTTTATCGAAAACTCAAGTTTATGAGTGGTACAAAGCCTTCCAGGACGGTCGTACGACCGTCGAAGACATTTCGCAACGCACTACTGAGGTGAACTGGTTTCAACAGCTGCCGTAAACGAACTGTCTGACAGATCGAGCTCATTTTTGGCATAGTAATTAAGGACAGTGCTGCCAAACTACATAAACTTAAAATATCGAAAAATATACAGCGCGCGAATTTTAAATGAGAATTTCCGAAAACTTTTCAGTCTTAATGTAACTACAAACTACAGTAACACGGAATTTTGAATAATTTTTTTTTTGTTTTTGGGAGAAAGATGTCGAGATTCTTTGCGCACATGTTACCGCAAAATGAACAAAAATTAAAAATTTGTTTGCATATTGAAATTTTTGTGCTAATTTATTAAGCTCGAATATAAGTCCCGAATATACCAAATCATACCGATGTTTGCAGAAGACAAGAAAATAATTAAATTTATTTTATATTTGCATTTGTTTTTGCCTGTTTAAGATTTGTTTGTTTTTTTATTTTACAACAAAATTTACAAATTATTAACAAGACGTAATTATTTATGAAATATCAAAAATAATAATAATAAATTTTAACTATTAAAAAATATCTTTAAATATCAAAAATCTAACAAAATCAGAGTAACAAAGAATAACCAAAAATATTTTAATGCATATTTGAATGAACTTTATTTGCAAATAATTTGGCATGTCCTCAAAAACGCAAGCAAGCAAGCACTCATCACTAAACTACAAACATATCTAAAAAATTAAAAAAAAATATATACTTTACACATACACTACATTTTCTTTTGCTAATTTTTACATAAGAAAAAAAAATTAGAATACATTTCCTTTGTTTTCTTTTATGTGATTAAATGAAAAATAAAATGTTTAATTCCGTATACAAAACAAAATTAAGTCCTTTTAAGATCTAAAGTAAAAAATCAAACAAATTAAAATATACCAAAAACAAATTTCAGGCTATCTACCAATCTCTTCCAATATTTTCATTGCAAACGACAACACAATGTCCTCTTGCCCAAACACCTCTGCAATTACAGCTACCAACAGCAATATGGCCATAACCAATTTAGTCACTACTCCAAGCACAACAATTGATTACACAAACTCCAATCATACCAGCACGACCCCTTCCACAATGAATCATCATCATCGTCACCATCTACATCAGCAACTTAGTTTCGATAATTGTATGCTTGGCGAAGAGCAATATACATGTCCTCAATGCTTTCGAACATATCGACGGCATGGTACCTTGCGTCGTCATTTGCGCCAAGAGTGTGGCAAAGGAAAAAGTATGGTATGTTCTGTTTGTGGTCATAGGACAAAACGAGCTGATCATTTGCGGCAACATGTGCGCAAAAAGCATCCAGAAATAGCGATGCGTTCACTATTTCGTCGGTCCCCGTCCCAACACCGACTAATGCAAGCCCACCACACAGCTACCACTAGTATTTTACAACAACAATTGCAATTACACGATGCCGTAAGTGCAGCGGTAGCTAATGCCGCTAAGTTAAACATAAAACCTTTAGGAAAAATAACAGGAACAGGAATAGGAATACCAGTGGCTAATAATACATCACCAACTTCAACAAAATCTGTTAAAAATATAGGGCGTCGGCGCAGTAGTATTGAATCTGAAGAAGTTGTTGATTTAGATAAAGTTGATGATATTGATGATGATAATGCAGACCACCAACCCACGCAACAACAGTTGGAGCATTGTGTTGGGAGTTCCATAAACTCAAATTACTTTCAGCAGCAATTGCAACAACAAGCTATGCAACAATTGCAAATACAACAACAATATCAACACCAGCAACAGCAGGCTGAAGTGTTGGCGACAACAGAAGTAAATAACGTACTAGTAAGCAATAGTTCCTCATGCGCAGATGATGAGTTTAGTTATAATTGTTGATAACTGATGGAAAGAGAGAAAGCAAAATCTACTATCGCGCATTATTATTTATTGTATTCAATACATTTGCAATATTTTTTTTTATATTTATTATAAAAATATTTTCTATATGTGCTTTTCTGTCACTATTTTTGCAAGTTAATCATTCATTTCACTTGTGTTAAGGAGTAAGAATAGGTTCTGAATAGAATATTGTTTATGTGCATATCATATCCGGGTCATATATGTATTATATATAATTCTTGAAATGTTTTTTAATTTTTATGTCATCTCAACTGTTTTTGTGACATAATTTTGTCTATGCATTTGGCAGTTTTTTTTATCTGCTGTTGGTGGATATAGTATGTGTACAGTAGCATGCAAACTGATTTCGATGAATGATATGTTTTGTCAACGGTGTGTCTTCTGATGTTTATCCTTATTTATTCCAATATCGCTTTAATGTTAGAGGGTCCTTCTTGATATCTAGTGGTAGTGTTATGATACGAATATGGTTGGTTCAGCATGGAAACCGATTTCGGTTCACTTTTTCGGTTCCTTCAATATCTTAATCTTGTATCTGTCCGTTATCTGATATTAGTACATGCTATGAGTAAAATTGTGTGTTTGATGAAACTTGAACATAATAGGTTATAGTGCCTGAAATAAGTTAATTGATATGGAGTAAATTTCTGACAATTAAAAGATGTTATAGAAAGCAAACGACACACACATAGAATATTATTTTCTTTGTAGCTATACAATCTTGTTGGTTTCTTCCATATACGTTAATATTTGAGTGTTCCCTTTCTTCAATGCTCAGCTATTAGTTCACTTCGATGTGCCGTCATTCGAATTTCATGTCTCAATTCTTATTTGAAAATACAAGTATTTAATATTTCTGTTTATTTTTATATGGAAATATTAATAAAACAATGGAAACAATGAGTGCATTTCGTAGTGCCAAATTTTTTTTAACCTTAAATAATATTTTTTTAAATTTCTTCAGTTTAACTTTTAGCAAAATTTATTTTTTTTTTTATTTCAGTCGGAAGCCAAATTAAATGTTTTAACTTAAAAAAAGTGTTGTGTTGTTGATATAGATCATACAATCTGATTTATAGGATTACTTTCTAAAAGAAAATATGATGATTCTACACTATTCGTATTAGAGTTGTTGTAGTTGTTTTTGTAGCTCAAAAACAAAGTTCTTTCGAAACTCCAGCGAAAATAATGACCTAGACTTGGTTATTGTAGGCGAGTAGTTTGTTGAAAATGTTTATAGTTTTATAGTTCAAAAAGAAAATACTGAGTCTCGTTATTGTGAGTAAAAGGTTTTCTTTTTTTTTTTTCATACCACACCAGGCCATTATTTGTGCTGAAGTGGGCTTTCTTGGTAATCAAGGGCGCCACTCCAACCTAACCTGTTATATAAAACTCTGGCAAAACTTTGGATTGTTTATGTTTGGAATGGTGTAGAAAATATTTCTGCTCGAGGCAAACGGTCAGTGAATAATAAGAATTTTCACAAAGAGTGTTCAGTTATTAATGTATATGCGCCAAAACTTGGTTACCTAAAAGATATACACGTTTGCGTGTGTGTGTGTCAGGTTTAATACACTGAAACAAATAAGTGAATATTTATTAATTAATATAACTTCAACAAAATTTTAATATAAAAGCAACTAATTATGTTCATTGGATTTGTTTTTCGACATAATTATTGTAACAACAATTTAATACTATAAACGGGTGATAAGTACTGTAAGAACATAGTTATTAGTTCCGTTTAAATTTTCACTACTTAGCTGTGTAATCTTCTGCTTAGCTACCAATCTTCGTTCCCGTTTCCTTTCTACTTATGGTTTTCATTATACTTTGTTTACAAGTTCCTATGAACTATCACTCAACTAACCATGCATTTATTGGTCATAAATTTCTGCGTAGTTTCTTTGGAATGGCAATTGGTCGTCTTGATTCCGGGACGTAGACCAGGCCGTTCTTGGAATCGCCTATAAGTCTTGATTTCTGATATTCTGATCTGTCGCGAGTATGTGTTAATAAAAATGTTTGCAATTTAATTATAATTGGGGCAATTTTGATTTCGTTTTATGGAGCAAATTCATTGCTTTCTTTCAAATTTTCCCTAAATGGGTAATTACATATATAATTTAACGAAGTTGAATATTAACGCTACTATACTTCTAAGACATTTCAACTATTTGATATCATTCACACTGTTGCTGATGGTAATTATTGGCATGTATCCATCCATCCGTCGTATGGATTTGGTTTTAGCGGTGTTGATTTTAAGACCCACTTTGGCACATTCCTGTTCTGTTCGTCTGATGTTATTTGTATATTACCTACTAACGCTTTGTAAATAGATACACAAGTGAATGTAAAAAAAAATTTTTCCATTAATATTTTTCTATTTTTTTTTTAGTATATACATTTTTTTTTGTTTTATGATTTTTACCGATAAGCAGCAGTGTAGATCAAGAAGTCGTAATATAAATAATAAATAAATAAGCAATATAAATAAGCTTCTAGAAAATTCAGTAGAAGAGTAAAGTAAGAAAAATTGGTATTTAATTTAACTCTAACCAATATATACATATACGGTTTACTTTTAAATTATACTAATATTAAATATATGAAGATGAAAAAACGTGCTTTGCATGATATAAAATATCATTTGAAGCAAAAATGAGTAAAAATCAAAGTATTTTTAAATACTATTAATATAAGTTAACAAGTATATAATGTTACTGTTTTCTAATTAATTTTATCATATTTATGTATCTATATAATATATATATATATTTAATTTTCTTTTTAGTTTATGTAAAATATATTGAAAAAGTATTTTATTTTTAATCCCCCCTCACCAACTACTACTACTACTACTCTGTGCCAATTTTTTGAAAAAAAAAAAAAAACTTTTTTGCAATATATTTTTATAATATAATTAAAATAATGTAACAACATAAATTTATATTATTTATAATAATAATAAAACGAGACTTTAAACAAAAGCCTAAATCAATGTGTTTTAAATTAATTGTTTGTTAATAACATTAATTACTTAGAAGTGTGCGAACTACAAATGCGGATTTTGCTTAACATTCTTTTTATTTGTATTTTATATTGCATGAATTACTTCTTCTCTTTAACACGCAGCCAGTCACATCTCACATATTAAACAAAATCTCGATTATTTTATATATTTAAGTTAAATATTTCAATTTTATAACATTTTTATTATAATTATATTCCTTTCAGAAAACCTTTAAAACTAATTTCCTTTATTTTTAATAGTATTATATATATATATATATATGATTATTAAAATATATAAATATATATAATATAAACACATTTTTTTTACAAAATTCATTTTTCTTATAAATCTGGTAAATAACCAAAATTTTAAACAAAACAAGTAACTTTTGTAATCTTTTGGTTTATGAATTTTCAGTGTATTTTGTTATATATAACTTAATCTCTTTAAAACTTAAATGACTGTAGGAAAACGGCACAAAAGGTTTAATGTGTATAGTTTACATATGTTACGTATAATTATGAAATTTATCTCTCATATTCTACAAATTAATTATTTTATAATATTAGGAGAAGTACAAATTGCAGGGCATTTTTTTTCCAATATGCTAAAATCTTAAAAAAAAAAATCATAAAAAACAAAACCTTAAAATCAATCGTGTTAATTATAGAACTGTGTCAAATCCCAAATCATCATCAATTTTTCAGATTTGAGGACATTGTATAGCATTGCAACGGCAGCAGCAGCCGTCGTCGCAGCCGCTTCAGCTAAAACATTGCCAGCGATCACAGTGCCAACAACAAAAATAACAACAACGACGACAACAACAACAACAATAAATGCCAACAATAACAGCGTTAATACTAACCCAAACACAATAAATCCAGTTGTTACATCTGCAGTTGGTTCCTCCTCTTCTAACACACCAACACTCAACTCGTTCACTGATATGTTCGAACCAGAAATTACTATACGTAAAATGTACAAATGTTGTCCGCATAGCGGTAGTAATAGTAGTAGTAGCAACAGTGGTAACGCACGACCAATAGATAGGCAACGCACTACTAACTCACCACCACCTCTAAGTCAAAATATCGCCACTACCAACACCACTAGTGGCAACAACTGCAGCAGTTGTCAGATATCTGCAGCGGCCTCTTTTCAATTAGCAAATTTAATAAACTCAACAATGTTGTTGCCGCAAGCAGCTGCCGCAGCAGCAGCCATGCAAAATGTTGTATCAGCAAAATGCGGTGCTATAGCTGGCACTTCGGGTCAGCAGGGATCTGGTGGAGCACAACAATTAACAAAATCAAATATTAGCCTAACAAAAAAAATGGCCGGAGTTACAACAAATGTTTGCAATAATAACAGTAAAAACAATAGCAATGTCGTAAATACTGTCAATAGTGTTACGGCTGGTGGTGGTCCCTCATCATCGAATTCATTTAGCACTGCGACAGCGACAGCGACGGCGATAACGAGCGTTGTAGCAGCAGCTTCTCAAAAGAAGGATAAACATTTCCATTGCGACTTCTGTACATTTTCATGTTCCTGGAGATACGACTTAAAGCTGCACTTACGACAAAAACATGGAATACATAATAAAAAAATATGAAAAAATGAAAATATGTTTAACAGAATAGAATTCAGTTTTTGTTTAAGTTTAAAATGCTATTTTTGATTTTTCTTAAAGTTTAATTAAAGAAAATCACAAATGTTTCCATTATTATTTATTATTATTACCATGTATTAAGATTCAAGATCTTATTCTCAATTTGTATATTATATATAAAGTTTATATATATAGATACCTCGCCAAATCAAAGTCAGACAGCAGTCAGTCATTCAGTCAGTCAGTCAGTCGTCCTCTATTCAACTTCTCTCAACTCGAACTCAAATTTAAGCTGTGTATTATAATAATTAAAGTAAATATTATATTATAAATATATATAGCGAATATTATTTGCTCTTTGCTGCCAAGAAATCCTTATTTGTTGTTAGGCTGAGTTTTTAACTATAAGCTAAGCTAATAACTTGTGTTCTATGATCCTTTGAATTTTTTTTCATTTTAAATTTGTTGCATTATAAAGTGCAATTTATAGGTAATGTTCCGATTTTTAGGTGCCATAATATAAAATAAATAAAAATTTAAATAATAATACTAATAAATAATATGTATGAAAATGTGATTTTAAAAACTGAAACTGAAAATTTTTCGCTTAAAAAGCGAACGTATCGAGTTGAGACGAGGGGGGGGTAACAAAAACAAAAAAGAACACGAACATTTTTTTTAGACTGTTTGTTTCTATAAAATTTGAGGAAACATTTATGGCTAGTTTTTAGAGCTTTAATTTGAAATATTAATACTACAATATTAATTATAATTAATGTGTGTGAATTTATTAACATTAAATACTATTAAAATGGTATAAACTTAGTCTTTTAATGAACGACCGTGTCTTATTTTCTTTTCTTCTCTTCTCTTTTTATCGGCACTATAATTTATTATTAATATTATTAGCGTTTGAGTTGTTCTCTCAAAACAATATACGTTAGCTAGCAGTTAGGCTTGAAAATATATGTTATAGGTATGCTGCAGATAATCTTCCGTTAGTCAATATATACCTATTTGTGAAATTTGTGAAAAGCGAAATAATTTCTTCGCGATTATCTTATATTTTCTGTTAAACAAGCTATGTTAATTATTTATTTCTTATAAGTATAAATATATGATTTTTAAATTTAATTAAAATTTTTATTGATGAAATTTCTTAAATGTTTTACTTTCAACTTGGTACATAAAATCGACCACGCTAACTTAAGTAATACAAATATTCAAATAAATATATATATTATATGATGTATATATATATTGTTTGTTGTTAGTGCGCAAAATTTTTTTGGAAATCCTTATTTTCTTTTTATTCAGCAGTATCCGCAACAGTAGCACTAAATCGTCTTGGATTAGTAATACCATCATCATCATCTCCGCATATTGACAAGGCGAAAAAAAGTGTGTCTTCTCCAACTGAAAAGCGACGCTCACGTCAACGTCGTACACGACAACGTTTCTCTTCACCTAGTTTAAATAAAAAACTGAAATGCATAACTTGTGATAAGACTTATGGGTCCACATATACACTTACCCGTCACCAACGTGTTGAATGCCAGAAGTTACCGATGCAAGAGTGTGATTTTTGCCATAGATATTTCTACTATAGGCGCACACTCAAGAAGCATGTAGAGAATTTACATGATATGAAATTCCATTGAAGTAATTCGTAAATATGCATAACTACTTACTCACTCGTCAACTAATGGAACATACATAACTTTTAAATCTTATGTTAAGAAAATATCCATCAAGTCTTTGTATTTTGGGTTTGTTATTTCAATCTTGAAGTTATGATTTAATTTTTTCTTCTTTTTTTTTTTTTTTTAAATATATTTTCATTATCCTGATAAACACATTGAGGGTAAAGATTTCGCGTTTTTTTTCAAAAATGCTATATAAACCATTTATGGATAGAGTGTAATCAAATTAATATAAATATTACAAATATTAACTATAAGTTTTAAAAACATTGTATTAGAAAAAATGCAAAAAAATAAAAAAAAACGTAGACATTTTTTAATCATTTAAAACTTTTTAAAAGTAATTAAGTTCTAAGCACTTAATTTAGATGTTGAAATATTATTTAGATATATTAAAATAAGTAATTTATAATATTTTAAATTTAGTTTTTATTTTACTGAGATTTATTTGTTTTAGATAATATTTTTATTTTGTAATTTTGATTGAAAGAATTGCCTGCCTATATTCTTTCTTTGTATTTTAAATAAAAGAAAAATATTTTGTAATATAATAGAGATTTGAAATAAAAACATTGTTTATTTGCGTAACATAGTAATCATAATTTTATTTTTATTTATTTATTACTCTACATTGCAAATAAACGATAAAATAAAATGCTTAAAATAAATTAATTTAATTAAAATTTTGATATGGTTGCCAACTGAAATATGTAAATAGATTGATTGACACTATATAGTTTTAAGTTAGCTGTAATTAAAAAGTTTTTGAAGTTTTAACTTTTAAAATTCAGAAGTAATTAATTAATTAATTAGAAATAATTGTAATAATAGAAGTAAGTAAAAAGATTGAAATTGAAATTTGTTGTAAAATCTTGTACCTTAACAACAATAGTAAAATATAATATAATTTATAATTTAAAATAATTATGTACGAAAAAATTCTCTTGACTCTTAAAGTGATAAATCTAAATCAAGTTATTGATGACTACGTTTCAATCGATTATTTTATAATTTCTTTATTTTATTTTCTTTTTATTTTTGTTCTCGTTCCATAACAACAAAATTACATATGCACATGAAATTGTCAAATTGTAAATGCTATGCTAACATAACTCATCATGCCATAATTCAAATTCGAATTCATCATGCCGCGCAATACATTACAACAATAAATCTAAATCATTAGATATAAAAATTGGATATCAAGCTTCAATGATGATCGGTAGCTCAGACAGCTTAAATGAACGTTTTCCATGCGCTGTGTGCGGAAAAAGTTATTTACGCAAACGTCATCTACAGCGTCATATGCGAGATGAATGTATCGGTATACCGCCACGCTTCAGTTGCGACCTCTGTCCATCACGTTTCCGGCGCAAATATCATATGGTACGACATTTAACATCCAAACATAATATACCACAAGCAGTAGCTCAACAAACCAGCGGCAGTGTACGCTCTAACAATGCTCGTCCAAAAGTAGAGTCTTGCGATAGTCCACCTTGTCCAGAAAATCTCTCTTTGAAGAGGGAAGCAATTGAAAATGAAAATATGCTCAATTCAAAGCGTGTATCACCGATTCCACAAGTTATTCCAATGCCCACGTATGGTTTGACTGGTGCCATAACGGCAATTTCAGGAGTGTCTGCTGTTGGAGAAGACAGCCCAATAATTGGGATTGAAAATATCGGTGTAAATGATGATAATGGACAAAATATTATCGGTAGTGGCGGTGGCGGTGGCGGTGGCAGTGGCAGTGGCAGTAGCGAAGAAGGTAACACTGATACGATCACTATTAAAACCGAACCGTTGACACCATCAAAAAACCAAATGAATATGATGGAAGAGGATTGGAAAATGAAACTTAGTATGCAACTCCTTTCAAATTCATTACTGAAAGAACGACTAATGAATGCGATACCTTTTGCGTACAGTAATAACAATTGAATTGGAAGAAAGTGAGCAACAATTTTCATTTAAATTATTTTTTATTTTTAAAGTTTATGTGAAGGTCATTTTAATTATTATATATGTTAAAACTTTTTATTTATTACTTCACCATCACATGTACTTTATTTAAATTATTATTGTGTGCTATTTATTTTAAGCGAAGAACAAAAAAATAAAAAAAAATGAAACACGGGAACCAAAAAATAGAGCAAAATATTTTTTACCAAAAAGTAGACATTAAATTAAAAGGATCTCTCCATAATACAAACATATTAAAAGTAAACCAAACATTCCTGTAACGTAAATTATTTTTTAAATATCTTATTTATTAACACTTAATATCTTATTTATTATCTCTTTAGTTTAAGTTAAACTTTAATTTTATTTATGTCCAATTTAATGCATTTAATAAATAGAGTAATGTGTGAGAGCTTACTGTCCAATTATCATTTAATTTTAGCATAGTTAAATTAAAACTATGCTAGGTTCTAGTCTGCTGTGTTTTTATTAAAATTAAAGACCTATCGAAGCTAGAGAATAAAATGCTTAAAAAAAGCTCAATTATTACAATGTTACGTAAAATGTTTACATTAACCATATATTCACGAATTTCAATTTATAGACTAAGTATATATTATTCTAATATCCAAAAAAAAAAAAAAATATTTATATATATATATATATGAATATGTATTTATAGAGTGAGCAAAACTGTTTTATTTACTTTTTAAACTTGTAAGTTAAAAAGAATTGGACATTATAAATATATAATGAAATAATTTTTAAATATTTATTTACCTTATTATTGTAAGAATGTTTTTTTAAAAAAAAAATAAAACAAAGCAAATAATTTATATACCAAATCGAATGTAAATTTTAAAACAATCTTTATGTCACGTAAATGAATGTAAAACTGTATGTATTTTCAATGTCATTACAATAGAGAATGTAATTGTTAATATAATAATATTAATATATGTGTTTTGATGAAGGCTCTGAATACTCATTTATTTATAAGTATATTTGAAAGATTTATTGATTTGATAATTATAATTTCAAAAACAAAAAAATATACATATATATATTTAAATATAAAAAATCTAAACAAACTTCTATTCTTTTTTTTCAGCGTTAGTCCTTGTGTTGTTTATATATTTTTGTGTGTTTTCTGGTGTAAATGGTGGCATCATCTCTTATATAAATGATATATACGTGTATACTTCATATCAGATACAATGATATTGCGGTTTTAAAAAATTTAAAAAATTTTATTTTTGTTTTGAAACCTTCATTGTGTTGACATTCTTTTGAAAACTTATTTTTTTTTGTTTCGTTATTCACTGTATTGGTTTTGGTTAACAATTTTCTGTTTACTACGTTTTTTTTTTCGTGCATTTTTTTTGTTTCTAAAATATGTACTTTCTCATTAATCTATTTTAAAACTAAATTTCTTTTAGATTTACTACTACTACTACTACTCGTCTAGAGCTTCTACTGTTGCTAGTATAATTCGTAATACAACACAAACTATTCTTCAAGAACTAAACCAACTTCCTCAGAATCTAAATCCAATTGGTGGCAGATATTGAATATATAATAACACAGCAAGAAAGAGTACATTATATTTAAAAATATACATTTTTGTATGTGTGTATATATATTACCAACATGTATATTCAGTTGTTCATATATATACATAGCCTCTTTTATATATATATTATTATTATTTTTTATTTCTAAACCACAAACGTTAACTATATACACTTGACCCACCTGACCTAACGTTGACAAACTGAACACAACTAAGTGCCAGACATCTGTGTTACTGAAAAAAAACTATGTTGACTGACGATTATAACTGATTTTTACTATAACTATTATAAATTATTTAAAACACAAAGTGTATTAAATGTATTTATACATTAAACGTGATGTGTGTTTATTATTATTTTATATGTTAATTCTGTGCTTTAAAATGCTGTATTTTTTATTTTGTTGCTGTCGCTTTCTATATATAATTTTAATAAATCATATATATATTTATATGAAAATTGTAAATGTTATATACAAAAAAAAAAGAAAACAAATTAAATATATAAAATACACCTTCGTTTGAGGGTTAAACAAACTATAAATATGTTTTGAATATTTCAGGTATCTTAAAGATATAAAAATACACTACTCACCTATTTATTTATACGAATATGAAAAGTTTACTTTTCTAAACTGATATTAAAAATTTTAAGTAATGACAAATGTTGTAATTTTTATAACTTTGTTTTCCAGCGTTTATCAAGTCACTTTTTTTTTATATTTGTATTAAGTATTTTTAAACAGCATCGTGGTGATATTCCTATATTAGCATTTCTCGTCAACTATATATATTTATTTGTATTTCGTTACCATTTTACGTATACATTTTTTTTTCTGCATATTGTAGAATTATTTATTTTATTTTAATTTATGTTTAATTGATAGTTTTACATTAAGTAGTGTGATATATTATATATTTGAAATTAATTATAAAATGTAATTAAGTTTTTTTAAGTTTTTATTATGCGTATGCGTTTTTTGATTTAAGTAAAATGCACTTTTGGTTATTAATATAATGTATTGATCTATTGATTTATTAATTTTAAGTTGTATTGAATTGTATGTATTATCTTCAACTCACATTACTTTTTATTTCCATAATGTTCATGTCAACATAAGAACATAAGAACATAAGAATACGAACAAAATACTGAATACGTCCTTTTACTCTCATCTATCTATCCATCGCTCATAATCATATTGTAATTTGTTTCTTTTTCTACTTTTTTTTTCTTATCTTCCATCGTATCTCGTGTACTTGCGCCGTCGATATTTGTTTGCAGGATTTTTAATAACTTGGTATCAACACTCGTGTGATCAATGCGGAAAGTCATACAAAACTCGAAAAAGTTTAAGTCGTCACCGCCGTTTCGAGTGCCGTTTCACCACGGAACGTCCAATATTCCAATGCCCCTCATGCAATTACGCTGCTAAACGCAGTGACAATTTAACCAAACATATAAAAACTCATTTTGCCAAAATGCAAAGAGAATTCATGCCATTGGCAGTGAAGATGCAACACACATTGCAGACTAAAATGGAAACGGCTTAAGGATATAAGTTTGGTTCCACTTTAGTACAGGGGAACTAACCGTTGAATTACTGTCTATGGTTAGTGTAGTGTGTGATGTGTGTAGTATCAAGTGTGATTAATACTTTGTTAATTAACACATATTGAATGAAAAAAAAATCGACGTTTCTTTTAACGTTAGCTCTTAAATATTGTTCCTCCGGTATAAGTTTTCATATTCATGTCGTCATGTCATTATAAATTTTACATATTCGCATTTACTTACATACATCTTTACTCACACACGCACACACATTAATCCATATCAGATTCATATATTCTTCGTATACTAAAAAAACAAATTGAATTTTTAACATTTTTATTAAATATAAAGTGAAAAAATTTTGTGAAATAAAATTACTTTTATTATATGCTTTAGTAATAATATGTAAGCCAGATATTCAATTTATTCAACTAAATTATATTATTAATATGCTTAAAATGTATTCTAATGCTTAAAATGTATTACTACTTATTTTGTAAAAGCTCTGTCCTAATTTTAATGCTCGTTTCCTACAATTGTTTTGTATCTAATCGCAGAAAAGTAGCTCGACTGCGCTATTTATTGTGCTCGAATAATACATAATACACTACACACACTTTCTCAATATCTTGACAACGTTAAATTTAAAATTTTTCTGCTCATTTTAATTATTGCATATCGTGTGCATATTATTAATATATTTACAAAGGTTCAACATTTTATGTTAATTTTGAATAAAAATGGTGAGCATAAAATTTGCATAAACTTCTTCTACTAAGAAACTAAAAAACTAATTCATGCAAAATATGCTAAAAAATTCCATTCCGTCAAACAATGTATAAAATTTGTTTTTATTTTCTAACAAAAAAAAAAAACTATAAGTAGAAAATTATAAAACGTGCCAGATGACGCGTCTACTTTGTTGTTGTTGTTGATTTTTATGTTAATTATATATTTTGATATATACCGTAGTGGAAAATGTTGCTCCACAAATTAATGACTCAGTTTTTCTTTACTAAAATGAAACACTGAGCCTGGGAAATGAATCCGATAAAAATATATATAGATATATATACATATATGGATAGATCGCTTTTGAGTTAATTTCCCTAAACATACACGGTTTTTTTTTATAAAAACAACTCATTTTTTCTAAAAAACTGCTAACATTTAAAATATGTTTGTGTGAATATTAATTCATTTATTAATTCATATAAATAAATAATATTTTTAACTTGAAGAAAACATATTTTACACGCATAAAATTCAGTACTACTACTACTTAAAAGCGAGCATTAAGAATTATCTTTTACAATATATAATTTATTATAAATATTTAAAATGAAATAACATATTATATATGTTGTTAACATATAATTAAAAAAAAACTATTTATATGCATTTATAAAAAAAAGATACTATTAATAAATAAGCTGACATTAATTTATAGAATATTTAAATATAAAAACTATACATTCCTAAACCAAATATAAATGATATACATATATATATTATTATTACCTTATTAGGCACAGGTCTAGTCAGTCATACTTTTATTAAAGTTCTTAATATTTAATTATAATTTTTATTTAATATTTTATGTTGAAAATATTGTTACATTTAATATTTTTTGTTTTTCTGTTAATTACTTTTAATATTTTATATCCTTAATTTACTACAATTATATTAGATTGTGATGTCAGTATGTATGTACTGGTAGATATGTTTTTAATTAAAAAAAAAAAAATATAACAGAAGATTGTGACTTCAATTAATAATCGTTAAAATATGTACTGATGAATATAATTTATTCAAATGCGCAATGTATTCTTGTTTTATACTATATTATATTTATATTTTGATTATTTGTTTACATTTATTTAATTATATTTAGATTTATTTGGTTGTATTTATATATATTTGATTAAATATGATATTGACAAAAATCAACGTCTGGTTGGAATGATAAAAAAGTAGTTTTATTTGTTATCTAACAAAATGAACTATATATTAATTATATTTATACACATATATATTAATAGTATTTATATATATATAAAATAATTATATTTATATATATATATATATATATATAATAATTATATGTATATATATACATACATAATTGTATTTATATATATATATAATAATGTATTTATATATATATATACATATATAAATATGTATTAATTATATTTATATATATATTAATTATATCTATATATATATTAATTATATTTACATATATATTAATTAATATATATATATATATATATATTTGTTGAATTTATTTAATTATATATACTTATTTTATTTGGTTATATTATTATTGATGTGATGATATTTTTATTTTTTCGATTATATTTTTATTTATTTGATTATCTTTGTAATTTTAATATATTTCTATTTATTTGAATATCTTTGTAATTTTTTTTTTATTATATATGCAAATTTATTTATTTTGATGTGTGCAAATTTATTTATTTTGATGTGTGCAAATTTATTTATTTATTTATTATAATATTTGCATTTTAGTTATTTATTTTTAGTTATTAAAAAATATGCCAGCTTATTTACTTATCGTACACGTTAAGTGCTATGTATATTCTAAGTTAAATGTAATTTTCTAATAAATATCTATTTTTACTGATTCTGGTGATTTAGGAGCTAAAGAAGTCATTAAAATAAAAGAAAGGCATACGTAAAAAAAAAATTATTTAAAATTATTAAAAATATGTATTTACAGCAATTGCTTAGAACACTATTTTCCATTCAGTAGTATCTTTAATCAAAGAATATATAATAAATAATTCTAATATTTACAAAATAGGTTAATATTATTTTTAACTAAACATTTTTAATCTAATTTGATAATACTGATATATATTATGAAACACAAAATTTAAAACTGATATCTACTAAATTTATAAAGTTTGTAACATCGTAAGTTCCTCGAAAGCAACAAATACTAATAACACTAATGAAAGATACTTATCGCAACTCCGTGCTCTTAACAAAGAAAAAGGAAATAATATTTTTAAACTAAGCAACTAAAATTAGCTCTTTAAATAATAATAAAAATACCAAAAGTACATATAAATTAAAATACAGTACAACTTACTATACAAATACAAACATTTTTTAATGTATAAGGAAATATAATTAATACAGAATATATATTTTAATAGAAATTTTACATAATTTTATTGTGCTATATTTATATTGATATACATGATATCTATAATATAATGTATGAAATGAACTCTTTTTACAAAAAATAACAAAACCTTGCGAAGACATTGTTAAAGTGTTTAACGAATTTTTTATTATAATAATGTTGAAGTTGAAGTTTTGCCAACAATATTTTTAAAAATCAGTTAAAAATAATATCCTGATATTGGATTCTAACATTTTAACAATGTTATATTTTTTTATATGCGCCTATATTTAACAAATATGACTAACAAATTCTACAAATTTAAATCAACAAACAAAACCAAAAACATACAAACAAAATAAATTTTTATTCAAGATACACGTATATATTTATATATATTAATTAAAAAAAAAACAACGTTTTATTAACTATGTCATATATGCTATTTTTTATACTATATATTTTTGTACTTAAATAAAGATGTAAAATTGAACATATGCATTCAAACAAAAGTGAATAGTTTTTTAATTCAATAATAAAAATATTAGTTATTTTGTGCATAGTTTTTTTTTTGTTTTTAATTTTTTTTTTAAATTTTTATTTTTTTATATATCAATTTTTTTATAAAGATATTTACAGCTCCAATTCAGGCGTTAAAAATTGATATGTTTTCAAAGTCAAACAAATAACAACTGTCTGTCATGTACATCAAACAAGTATCACCCTGTAAACGCTTTGCATCATTTGATCATGACCACCATCACAATCATCATCAAACCACAACCACCTCGTCTACCACAACCGCGAGTACAGATCTGATCAGTTCAGCTACATCTCCACCCTGTATCTCATTAAAAACTGCGCCAATTTAATGCAAAAAAATACACTAAAAACAAAAAATAACTGTAAATATAATTTTTTTTACTAATTTCTTATAATTTATTTATTAAAAAAAAAACATTTCTATATATAAATTAGTTTCCTCATATAACAATCTTATTTTATTCATAAATATAACTCTTCCGAATATACTAAATGAACTTATAAAGTAAGCTGCTATTGTTTTTTGCTAAACAATTAGTTTTTGCTTTCGTTTTCTTATTTACAAAACATCTAATAAATAAAATAATAAGTATTTTTAATGTTAGTTTTCTAAGTTTTATATTATATATATTATTACGTTAGTTATTCTATATATCAACGACAACATTGTTTAAATTTATTTTTTTTCAATTTTTCCAATTTTCATTTAAAACTTTTCAACCATTGCTACATAAAATAAAGGCTGTCCAACGAGTTCATCTACAACAACCTCTTCGCAAACACCGCCACCGTTGCCTCCACAATCCTTAATACGCGACTATTGGTATGAACTTAAATTTTCCGATTTATTTAAATTTATCAATCCTGATGGACGTTATCAGTGCCCGAGATTCAATTGCTTAAAAAGTTATAAGGATGCTAGTTCATTACAGCGACATATCAGGTAAGTTTCAACAACTTTCTGTATATCAAAGATATTAAAACATGTAATCAATACTTATAATAGCGAGTTTTATTTCGTATTATTATATTACTACTTTACTTTTATAATATAAAATTTTCCCTTCAAGCTTTTATAGATAAACTAAGTTTAATAACATTGAATGATTCGTTTAAGTTAATATCTCTTAGTACCTTAATCCTTGCCTTTGAGTGACTAGTTGTGTGCTCACTTGAAATATATCAATTTCTGTTCTACTCTTATATTACATGATGTGTTATGTGTTATTTATAGAACATCCCATAATTTTTTAATAAATTTACAAATACGGAGTTATGGTAGTCTTCATCTATCTTATCAAACAGTAAGACCTAAAAGTTAAACTTATTTAGGTTTGAAGAACTATATTGTAAAAGCCCGTTTAAAACTATAAACTTCTATAAGAGGTTAAATGTGAAATTAATAAATATTATAAATAAAACCTTAAAAGAAAGTAAAATAAAATGTTGTTGTATTTCACTACTTTTCGAAACCTCTTTAGATATTAAAAAATAAATTGAAGATTAAAATTAAATTATGTTATTTAGTTAGTTAGTGAAACTTAACAACTAGAGATATGGAATTTTAGTTTTTACTTTAATTGAAAGCTGATTTCAATTAATCAAACCTAATCAGTTGCCTTTGGGCGGTAGAACTTTACAACTGAAACTGCTTGCTAAGTGACCAACGATTATAGTGATTGGCACATGTTATTGTTTACAAGTTGTATCGGGTCTTAGTAGCGGTTAGAGGAAATAGTTATTGTATAAGGAACAAACTCCATGGGCTGTATAAAATTTGTGAAAAATGAATTAATTGATTTCATAATATTCTGAGAATTTACAAAAATTATAGTAATATTTAACAGAGTTTGTTAGAAGTTATATATTGAATCTAAAACACGTAATTTTTAAGGGAAACCCATCCAAACGATTTCAAACTGTCTTTCACTGAATATACTGTGTGAGGCGGCGCAACGTGGTATAATAAAATCACTTCGTCATGTCTACTGGCTCATTGTGATAGTCTTTCGATTAATGTGTGATTTAAATTAATCATTTATTTGCGAAAGCGTTGTGCATTAAAGGTTTGGTCACATCAGACCAAAGCAAGGTCTTTTTTTGCCAAAGCGATTCGGCCTTAGCAGAAAAAAACTACTTTGAGTTTTTAAAATAAATCCATTTTTCGTCACCCGTCAGAATTCGATACAAAAAATGTGGGACCTATTAATTACCCAGTTTATTGATCTTCCTCATTGCTTATAAAACGTCTACTGACTGTTTCTTGTGATACATTTAATGTTTTTGTCAAATTTTGTTGAGTTTGAGTTAGGTCATCATCCAATATCAGAGCGTTAACCGTCTTTCACATAGAAATCAACACTTTTAAATGATCGGAACCATGTCTCACACGTTCTAATCGATAGTGGCGTGTTCACGGTATGTTTTTACCATCAAATGGTGGTATTCTGCCTTTTTATTTTAATGCAATAAGAAAAGCAATGTGTGACTGATCCATAAACAAAATTCAATGGTCGATAACACAAATACGATAGTCTTTGATAAACTCAAATTGTGTGTGCTTGGGTTAAATGTCAGAGGAAAAATAACGTACGTGTTAAATCAATGCGCTGGGTACTTTCACTGGTGTTATCTCTAAGTTAAACCGGAAAAAAATTATATTTAAACCGGAAACCTCTTTTATATTATATATATTTTATATATTATATATATTTTATATATTATATATTTTATATATCTATTATATATTTCTATATTCATATATTTAATATTTTTTATTTATATATAATATTTTATATAATATATATATAATATATATATAATATATAATGTGTTTTACATATATTATATTATGTATAATATATTATACATTGTATTTAAATTTATATTGAGAATTACTTATAATATATATTAGAATACGTATGATATATTATATAATATTTTAAAATGTAATGTATGTGTATAATGTATTATATATATATATAAGAGTTCATAGGTTATTAGATTGTGTTATACACTTTTATATATTAATTGATTAAAATGCAATAATTAGATTATTTAAAATGTGTTTAATGTATTTTCAGATATGAATGTGGTGGACAGAAAAAATTTCGTTGCCTAATGTGTGGTAAAGCATTTTCTCAGAGCTCCCACCTAAAACGACACTTGGAATCTGGTGTTTGTGTTAAATATTACTTATGAGATAATGTTTTCTTCAAAATAAAATAGAAATAGTAGGAACAATACACCAAGAAATTTAAAATTGCAATGAATGATGAATTATAAAAATTCAGAGAACAATTCAAAAAACATAGAGAAATGATAATGAAAAGTAGTAGGTAAATGGTAAATATATATATAAAGTATATAACATCAAATTTTATGACAACATTTTCGATATATTCGATCGAATATGTTAAAATATTGCGAAAACTAAAAACAAAACAAAAACAATAATAAAACAACTACAACAAAACGAATTTATTGGATGCCACATCATATATACTTACAATATAAATAAAAAAAAATATTTTAAATATAATAGTAGTTATAAAAAAATATTAAAAGTTAAAACAAACAAAAGTCAGTGAATAATTAATAAAATAAAATCTTTATGAAGTTTTAGTTGAAAAGGAGTAACGAATCAAGAAGCTAAATACAAATTTTGTTCAAATAACGTAAACAAATTTAGTCAACTAACCAAACTACGTAATTTTAGGAAACGTTTAAATAATTATTTTCTATAAGAAAACATAAATAAATAATAATAAATGAAATTCATGAATTTGTTTATAAATGAAAATGAATATTTTAAATAAAACCATAACGTACTGTGTTTATTTGTTGCCAAATATTTATAAAAATTTGACAAAGGGATAAAATTATATCTATGTATATATACACATAAATAAATATAAATAAAAAAATATACATAAAGTGAATAATAATTATGTGAAGTGTTGAAAATCGTATTCATTAATGATTAATGATGTTAAAAATATATATTAAAATGTTGCATATTTGATATTGTTTTTAGAAAAGTTTATATATAATGAGCAAATGGAGTTATTTATATTTAAAGTGTTCGTATTTTCTTAAGTGAAAGAAATTTTTAAAAAGATGTTACAGCGACTAGTTAATAATATTGAAATTAAACACTACGACAAATAAATGTAATTAACAACATCTCAAAAGCTTTAAACCCTGATCTATACTTGATCCCTTCTTAACTTAAAACCAACAGAAATTATAATCAGAAAATATTCAAAAACATTTTATTACACAGATTATAAAATAGAAATTACAAATTACAATATTGAATATACAATATACAATATAATACAATATACAATATAATACAATAAAATCAATTATAATTTTAAAATGTGTTCAGTTACATGGTAAAAACGTGTTGACCTGAAGTAATTAAATGATACAGGGTGTAAATTATGCCACCAGCAGTAAGTGCATGAATTATAAATTTACAAGGTAAGCAAGCACCACTACGTCAATTAATTTGTTTCTTAAATTACAATATATCGAATTGAATAATAATTTTTTTTGCAAAGATCTAAACTCACATAAATCATAAATGAATTGAAAATACATATGTGTCGATGAAATTGTTAATTCCATTTCATTGCCTGTGAAAAGGGGAGGGTTATGTATAGGTTATGTCTAATCAATTATAAAACAATTATTTTTTTTCTTTATTTCATATAATATTATATTTACATTAAATGAAATATTTTCTTAATACAATAATAGTGTATTGCCACCAGTAAAAAACTCAATAGTTTTTTTTTCTCACATAAACATTTACATATTCATTCCAATATTTTGTATTGAAGATATATCTCAGTCAAGAATTTTAAAACCTAATCAAAAGATTTCTGTAATTAAATCTAGGAATTTTTGAAATACATCAAGGTGTCACAATTATCTACTTATATATTTTTCATTACGGAAAATCTGAATTCTTGAAATAAAATTAAAGTATTTACCTCAAAAATTCTTTTTAATTAACTAAATTCATTCAATTTCATAATTTAACAGACGACAACAATGTATACTAGTTGTCATAAATACCTAGGTTAGGTTAAGTTATACCGGCTATATTTAGGATTCACTTAGGCTTATTGGTCCATTGTGTTACTGTATAAAAAACTGAAAGGTTTAAAAACCACTTCGAACCTTTGGCATTAGTGTCAACTTTGATACCTTTGGGCAATTCAAACATTTTCTTAATATGTATAATTGCTTTCTTAATTAATTTGATTATTATTATATAAATGGATTTATTTTCATTACTAAACTGAAAACAATAAATATTATATTTGGTATGTCATATCAAAAGCTTTCAATTTAATTATTTACGACAGAAGCAATGACAATTCCACTGCAAGTGATAAGCGGAGCTTGATCGCCATAGACGACGATGGTCCCTGATTAAGATCCCGACATTACTAGAACCCATCGATTTCGTAATTTGTTTGTTTCAATATATGATAAGATTAATTTCCAATTTGAAAAATGTTTGTTTTTTCATAATTTATTTTAATTACTGTTGAATAATTATTTGATTCTCAAGACATAAGAATATCAAAGCAAAATAATGCTTCCTATATGATTTTCATTTGCAACGGCTTATTTATTTAATAATTAGATTAGACATAATCTACCTATCGTATAAGGAGGGTTAGAAATGATTTAGACACTATTAAGTTAATGAACTTCGTAGAAAAAAGATTAAAATTTACACAACGTTCTTCAGGACTTCTTAGA